TCACCCCTGCATTGTTGGAAATAAAAAAATTATGGGATGAAAGACTAGAGAGAAAAAATCAGAGAATTATAAAAAATACTTGTATTCTATGGCTTGGCTCAATAAAATGTCTCAAGCACAAGACCTTTTATAGGTACAAAGGATCCCAAATACATTTTATGAACTCAATAGATTAATTAATGACTTTTTCTACATACTTTGAATAATAGGATACAAATAACCATTTGGATACATGATTTAAGTAAATGTATGAATATTAAATAAGCTAATTCATTTATCAAATTTAATTTTTTTTCATTATTCATGAATCAAGTTTAATTTCCAACACCCCTTCTTAAAAACTTGATTCCCTCTTGATAACTCCAATCCAAGTACGCAATCTTGCAAAATCATCATTCTTCAATGGTTTGGTGAAAATGTCCGCTACTTGATCATTAGTCTTCAAATAAGCAAGCTCAACTTCTTCGTTCTCAATGCATTTTCTAATGAAGTGAAATCTCGTATCTATATGCTTGCTTCGATCATGGAACATAGGATTTTTACCCAAAGCAATAGCTGACTTGTTATCAACATAAATTGGTGTAGCTTCATTTTGAGGCATATGAAGCATCTCCAATAATTTCCGTAGCCAAATGGCATGACAAACACACGATACATCGGAAACATATTCAGCTTCACAAGTAGAAAGGGTCACAATGGGCTGCTTCTTTGAACACCAAGTGAAAGCGGTGTTACCCATGAAAAACAAAAATCCAGTGGTGCTTTTTCGATCATTAGTATCACTAGTCTAATCACTATCACTATAACCATGAAGCTTGAATTTGTAGAAGAAGAATAAGCTAAGCCATAATCAAGGGTTCCTTTAATGTAGTGAAGCATCCTTTTAGCAATCTCCAAGTGAGTTAAAGTTGGTGCCTCCATATACCGGCTAACAAGACCAACACCATAAAGAATATCGGGTCTTGTACAAGTCAAATATCTCAAACTTCCAACAAGCTGTCTATAGAGAGATGGATCCACTTTCATGCTCTCGTCATATTTTGATATCTTTGTTCCACGTCCAATGGGAGCATTCACTAGATTGCAATTTTGCATTTTGAATCTTTCAAGAACTTTCTTTGCATAAGCTTCTTGAAAAATAAAAATGTCATCTCCATTTTATTTTACCTCAATTCCGAGGTACTATGACATGAGCCCAATGTCAGTCATCTCAAATTCTTGAGCCATCATTTTCTTAAATTCATCAAACATGTTTTCATTGTTGCTGGTGAATATCAAGTCGTCAAAGTACAAACACACAATCATAAAACCTCCAAATGCGTCATTTTTAATGTAAAGAGCATACTCATGTGGATATTTGATGAATCCATGATCTTGAAAATACTTGTCAATCCAGCTAAGCGCTTGCTTCAAGCCATGTAGCGCATTCTTCAACTTGAAAACTTTATCTTTATCTTCCTTGACAATATAACCCAATGGTTATTGAACGTACACTTCTTCTTCAAGATATCCATTCAAGAAAGCGGACTTGACGTCCATTTGATAAATTTTCCACTTATTTTGAGCTGCTAAGGAAATGATTAATTGAATGGTTTCCAAGCGAGCAACGGGGGCAAAAAATCTCATCATAATGAATGCCATACTTTTGGCTATAGCCTTTGGCAACAAGTCTTATCTTTTATTTCTCTACTTCTCCTCGAGTATTTTTCTTTACTTTGTACACCCATTTCACGTCAATTGCTTTTTGCCCTTCAAGAAGAGAGACTAGCTCCCATGTATTATTCCTTTTTATTGCTCGGATCTCCTCATCCATTGCATGCCTCCATTTCTTATCTTCCATTGCCTCTTCAAAGTTCAATGGCTCGGTGTCAGCGAAGAGACAAAACAAAGATGGATTATCAACAATTTCAGTTTCTTCATAAATCTCTGCAAGATTTATGATACGACTCGATCCTTCAGAGGGACTATCATGAGGAGATTGAGGAGAAGGAGAATGTGGTGGAGTGGCATCTTCACTTGAATTTTGGCTAGAGTTTCCTTCTTGGAAAGGAAATGTAGAACCCCAAATAATTCTAGACACCTTAGTGGCACTAGGACATGCATATTGGATGACTAAAGTATACTTCAGATTTTTAGTCTCATGTGAGACCCATTTTCAATATAGGAAACATTCGACTTGGAAAATGATATCTGAATAAAAGTTGTAGCTCTTTGAGTTAGCTTTCCAATGCACTTTGAATTACCTCAATCGGATATCGGGAGAAGAAGTTATGATAGAAACACTAAAAATTGTGCAGTGTCAACCAGACTACAATCGGTCGACCGAAATTGCCTTAATGAAAATTCTCGTTTTTCTCTAGAATTTAAATATTTATTTTCATCAATTATTTTCTTAAAGGGCCACCCATGTTTTTGGCAATAAAAACCCCACTAAATTGAAGCATTTAACCTCAAACTTAAATGGCATCCATGTTTTCTCTCTTAAATGAAATTTGACCCTTCATTTGCTTTAAGTTACGGGATATTTACCTCTAAATAGAGACCTCATTTCACTCATTTTTTCTCACACCAAAAGCATGAGCTTTTACATACTAAAGAAAGTTTCCAAGAGAGAAAAAGAGAGGGAGGAAAACTATTTTTCCTAGAAGTTTAAGAAGTATTTTCAAGCATCAATTTTCAACGGTTTTCAAACATCCAAGAAGTGCATTTCTTTCAATATCCAAGTTTCATCGAAATTTTCAATCCAAGTTCTCAAAGTTTCAAAAGCATCAATCAAGGTAGGTAGAGGGGCAATGTGTTTAATCGTGTTAAGTTATAAGTTTCGATTCATGTTAATGTTTGTATGTCAAATGGTACTCCGGTACGGCATACCCCTCTATGTTGAAGAAATGTTCGTATGTCAAATGGTGCCCTTGGGTACGGCATACCCCTTCATGTCAAATGGTGCCTCCGGGTACGGCATGTATGAAAAGTTATAAAGTTAATGTTTGAAATGTATAGCTTGATCACGAATGCACCTATGACACCTATTGAGTTTTTCGACTCATGGGTTTAATCCCATCTCTACAGATTGAAGGAATTCTACCTCGGGCATGGATGGAGGAGAAGATGGAGAGTGATGCAACGAGCCCATGAAAATCCGGTGAATAAGTGATTTGGATTTATTTTTATGACATGTTTCCCAATGTTATTTCTTTAAAGTTTTGAATAACGCAGAATGCGAGAACAAGTTATGTTTTCTTCAAATAAATTACATTTTGTTATTTTGAAAAATGATTCAGTATTTTTGTTTAAAGTATTTAAAGTATTGTTATTTAAATTATTATCCGAAGATGTAAGCTTCCACTAAAATGTATACACTTGTTACTAAACCACCGGTTAAACTAAGTAAAGTAAGTAGCGTTCCGGTCCACTGGGGGTTGGGGCGTTACAAGAAAAATCACGTATTCTTTATTTTTCGGAACATTCCAATCCCACGAACTTCCTTAGTTGAATTTCACAACTCAAAACTTGTTGCCTTTAGAGTTTGCATCATAACCCATGAAAACAAACTTCTCACTTTTCTCATCAAGTTTTAATCTCTTTTCATCTGGCACATGAATATAGGCAATACTACCAAAAACATGCAAATGAGAAACATTAGATTTCTTACTACTCCAAGCTTCTTGTAGAGTCATGTCTTGAGCACTCCTCGACGGGAAAAGATTAGAAAAATACACGAAACATGCAACAGCCTCGGCCCAAAACTCCTTCTCCATACTCTTGCTCTTAAGCATACTACGAACTATGTTGAGGATGATTCTATTTTTTCGCTCCACAACACCATTTTGTTGTGGTGATCTTGGAACTGTAAGAAAATGCCAGATTCCATTGGTATCAAAAAAATTGTTAAACTCCTTGGAAGTAAATTCTCCACCTCGATCCGTCCTTAATGCTTTGATTGAGTTACCACTCTCATTTTCAACAAGGGCTTTGAATTTTTTGAATGCACCAAAAACTTCATCTTTCGTCTTCAAAAAATAAACCCAGGTCTTGCAAGAAAAATCATCAATAAATAGTAAGAAATAATTTACTTTACCATGAGACGGTGGTTTGATTGGCCCGCACATCCGCATGAATAAGTTGGAGTGGCTTTGTTGCTCTTGAGGTAGATTCCTTTGGAAAGCTTCTTCTAGTTTGCTTGCCAACGAGGCATCCTTCACAAAGTTGATTGGGATGATTAATTTTTGGCAACCCATTCACCATTTCTTCATTCGTCAAAGTCTTCAAGCCACCAAAATTCAAATGACCAAATCTTAAGTGCCAAAGCTAAGAATTCTCTTCAACACAAGCTTTTAGACACCTTGGATGGTCAACATTAACATTGAGTAAAAACATTCTATTCTTCTCCATTGGCACCTATGCAATCAATTTATGAGAAACATCTCTCAAAGTAGGGTAACGATTCTTCAAGTGAATGTCATAGCTATTCTTAAGTAATTGTCCCAAACTCAAAATATTAGATTTCAAAGTAAGTACATAGTAAACTTGAGAAATCAAAAGATGACTTCCATTTTTAGCACGAATAAGAACATCACCTTTGCCTTTTATTGGAACTTTAGGTTTATCTCCAAAAATAATGCTGCATTTTACCAACTCATTTATTGTTGAGAATAACTCCTTGTTGCCACTCATGTGATTGGCGGCACCAGTGTCAAGGTACCACAATTGTCTATCCTTTTCTTTTTTGGTTGCCAACAACAACAACAATTCTTCATCTTCATTTGTTTCAACATAATTCATTCTTTCTTCATTATTGGTGGTGTCATCCCTGCATTCGGAAGCATAGTGACTATATCTATGACAAGTGTAACATTGAACATTAGGCTTGTCATAACTTCTTCCGTCACCTCTCTTGGAACCATAGTTCCAACGTCCTCGTCCTCTTGATTGATTGCTTGATCCATCATTATTCAAATTTTGTTTTCCATCATTTCTTTCATTACCACGACCATAATTTCCTACGCGAACACGACCACGACCACAACCTCGACCATGAATTTGACCTCTTTCTTGAGATCGTCCTTGCTCTTTCTGATACCACTTTGTTTTCCATCATTTCTTTCATTACCACGACCATAATTTCCTCCGCGACCACGACCACGACCTCGACCATGAATTTGACCTCTTCCTTGAGATCGTTCTTGCTCTTTCTGTTGACCTCCCAAGGAGACATTCGTTTGAAGAACTTGAGCCACCGGTTCTCCTTTCTTCTTCAATCTTTCTTCATGTGCTTGCAAGGACCCCATGAGTTGATCAAGGGTCACGGTATCCAAGTCATTAGACTCTTCAATGGCAATACTAACAAACTCAAGTTTTGAGTCAAGCGTTCTATGAATTTTCTCGATGACACGACTTTCTCCAATATTCTCCCCGTACCGCTTCATATGATTGACAATGGAGGACACTCTAGTGAAATAGTCAAAGACAGATTCAGACTCTTTCATGTGTAGAGATTCGAACTCCCCACGAAGGATTTGAAGGCGAACCTTCCTCACTTTTTCAATTCCCTTGAAATTGTTCTCGAGAATCTCCCAAGCTTCCTTAACTTTTGTTGAGGACGCAACTTTCTCGAATATGGCTTCATCTATGCCCATGTGAATAATAGAGAGAGCTTGTTGATCTAACTTGCGGTACCTTTGCAAGGCATTCCTTTGAGCTTAACTTAAAGCTCATTCATTCTCTGGTTTATCATAGCCTTTTTCTACAACTTTCCATGCCTCTTGTGAGCCGAGCAATGCCTTCATGCGTATGCTCCAATATCCATAATTTTCCTTTGTTACTTGGGGAACAACAAAAGGAAATGAACTATTCATCTTTGAAATGGCTCTGATACCACTTTGTTGGAAATAAAAAAAATTCTGGGATGAAAGACTAGAGAGAAAAATTCAGAGAATTCTCAAAAATACTTGTATTATATGGCTTGGCTCAATAAAATGTCTCAAACACAAGACCTTTTATAGGTACAAAGGATCCCAAATACATTGTATGAACTTTATAGACTAATTAATGACTTTTCCTACATACTATGAATAATAGGATACAAAGAACCATTTTGATACATGATTTAAATAAATGCATGAATATTAAATAAACTAATTCATGTATCAAATTTAATTTTTTTTCATCATTCATGAATCAAGTTTAATTTTCAACATACATGAGTGCTAACAAGATAAATGGACGTCCGTCTCCAAAGATACAATGCTTCTTTCAAAATTAATATAGCACAATATTAATTTTGTCGAATGAACCAACGTTTGACTGCACTCTTTTGGATATGAACATATTGATCACAAAATATCGAAGGCGAAGCTCAAAAATAATTTGGAAATTATTTTGGCGGAATTTAGATAAGGAAATAATTAGAAATCTATTTATTAGGAATAGATTTGGAGTGGAAAAAAAAAAGAATTAAGAGGACTTTATTTAATGATTTTCGTGTGTCTCCTTGAATTGTTGCATCTTTTGGCAAAATTAATACCAGCCATTACATCACATCATTTCGAAATTTATGATCTAGATTGCATCTTATTAAAAGGCCACACTCATTCGAAACAACTCTTTGATATGCACCATTTGCATTTGAGGAGTCGTGTCTAGTAATCAAACCCATAAAAAACTTTTCCAGTCTACACATTTAAATCATATAATTTAACCATTAATTCCAACACGCATTGTAGGCTAGAAATATTCAAAGTTGGTTTGGGAGTTCTATTGCAGGCATTATCAAGATCTATTACAATCATAGGTGGTTCTCGAATAATTTCTATTACAAGGCGTCTAGCCACTACCTAGGCGGTGGCTTCTGCCACGGAAAGACACGCCAGAACCTGAACTCGACGGTGCTGGGGTGGCCGTGTCGACCGGCTCAGAATCTCTTGGTTCTGATCTTGTTGAAGTGCTTCTACTCCCATTCAGGCGACGACCTCTCCCCCTAAAAGCTACTCCTTCCGCAGGGTCGTTTCTGAATGGAGAATTAATTTGGAAGCCCTCTCCCCAGAATGCTACAAGTTTATGACTAGAGAAAAGGATTAAGGAATAGAATTGATATCACCAATGCAGAATTTAAAAAATAAATATATTTAAATGCAACGATGTTTCATGGAAATGGAGGATACATCCAACGAGGAGTCTTTAAGATATTGTTTCCGGTCTTAAGAGGATAAAGAACTGTCAAGAAGTAGTATAGATGTCCTGCAGCAATCCCAATCATAGCTTGTTTCAATGGATTTCCAAGAACCAGTTCTACTACTATCATATAGTAAGCAATGTAGAATCCCTGCAATTAAAATAAGCCAAAATCACTTATACAGAACATTTTTTGTGTACTAATGTTGGTGAGAAGCTCGTGGAAAAACTTGAAATACGAAAATGAAATCTTGTTTCCACTTAATAACATACCTTTAACTCAAACAGACCGTGTATATTGATACGAGCATTTGGAAATTCTCGACCCCAGACATAAACAATAACAAAAACCATTGATGGTCCCAAGAATGGTGTCCACAGGTACGGAATAGCTGCCATAACCTAAATGCAAGTAAATATATAAATGATTACATTGTCTGTCTAATTCAAATTACTTGTATTACCTTATTATTCGAATATAAGTTCTTTTATTAATCAAATTCTTGTGTTGTTTAGGAATTACCAAGAGCGAGGCTGCTCCAAATACATACATCCACACTAAATCTGCCGTCCTCTTGTCAAAAGGCCCCCTTTCTAACTGAGTTCCATAGTACAATCTAAAAAGATAAAAACATATAATATCCTAAATTTTTTAAAACTTTATGACAATCATTTGTATGAATATAGCAATTAACAAATTAAACTTTCTCCTTACATTGTCAAGAGCCTGAATGCAAAATTTAAGGAAAATGGCCCTATGAAGAAGAAGGGTGTGATGAGCCTCCAAATCTACATTAAAGAAACATTTGACGTTAAAATATTGAATAGGCTATCGCAGATCTGATATTATTCAATTATCTTTGCTTTGATATCACGAAAAAATTAGTCCCATGAGAATAAATATGAGAATTACCTGAAATCTTTTGAACACATCTGAGTAGAGAAGTGCAATGTTCCGAATGTTGTAAAGCTCCAGAGTATAAGCGCCTGTGGCGAATAAACAGGCCACAGCATATGTCTTTGTTACTGGTGGTATCGAGTTATAGTATCTGAGAAAAATGAAATTTTTAGTGAGGCTGATCCCGGTACCATTATACCGTTCAGGCATACAATATAAACTTGAATAACATCAAGAAATAGACTAAAATCAGGCTTGCCACGAGATTCTTTATATAATTTTGGGGCATGTATAGTTTAAGTCCTAAGTAAATCATCCCAAAAAACTGTTATTAAAAAAATAAAGAGAGCAAGAAAGTTCTTTGCCATAGAGGGTGCCTGAAAAGGATCTCTTTTCTTTCGGTAAAATACTATCTAATTGTTAGGAGGAGTTCGGTAAAATGCCATCTAATTGTTAGGAGGATTTCTATTCTCAACTCCATCCATGGATGTAACCATAGATATGAAGCCGTCAGCTACTCGAGAGACGGTGCTGAATCCAAGACAATAACAAATAAAGTTTTCCCCCTCTAAAAGTTTGATTTTGATCAATAGAATTTTACATTTACCGATCAAAAAAGGTAAAAATTGTTGTTCCCCTCTAAAAGTACAACGGGATAATTTAAATTCACTGGAACTATACATCGAAATTCATAGAACAACTAAATATATGTCAGAATCATGCTCTAATACTAAACTAGGAAAGAAAAGAGGACTTACTCCAATGGTGTAGCCATTGTTAATTACCCAATGTTCTTGCTTAGTGAAGATATATGTGAGGACATTAATTTCCTTATGTATCTACCCCACTCCCCACCAGTTGCTTTGGAAATTCAGAAGAGGTTCTAACCAGAAGTCAACTTGGACAGAGAAATATTGGTGCTTGTGTACATAATTTTCCTTTTAGACTGGACTTTCTGTGTGAACTATCCAAAGTTTCCTAGTCTTCCATTGGAAACTCCAAGTCAAGAAGTCTAGGTTTTAGCTATCTTACTGCCTTGATGAGTGGGGCCTAATTTTAATATTTATTTTAAGTTTTTCTCTTAACAGAGTTGGAGGACGGCAGCCCCTGAGTTTGGAAGTTGTCAAGGTAAAATTTTAACGTTATAGAAGTATATTGAGTAGTCTGAACTTGTATTAGGTTATCCTAATTTCTTCTCAATAGGATAGGTATAAGGGCTACGTGTTTCCTTTGTAGATGAAAAAGAGAGACGTGAAGTCAGAGATATTATAATATGGTTCTCGAATATCTTTCTTCTATTATTCTGTCTAATTCAAATTTGTATTCCAAGTTATTTGATTATAAATTCATATTCATGTAAAAGAATGGTATTATTTAGGAATTACCAAGAGTGAGGCTGCTCCAAATACATGTTTTGAGAAATTCATGAAGTCCTTTTTTCTTTCCCGGTTTAGAGAATGATGTAGACATTGTGATTGACAATACCAATGTTCCTGAATCATACATAGTAAAAATATGTTATGAAATGTCTTCATCCTAGCAACAAAAATTTCATTACAAAGTTACGTAGGATTGCCCGTCCCAATGGAGAGGGATGGGATCCACAAGAAATTTAAATCATGGGGGAAAAAAAAAACAAAAACAAAAAGAATGAAGAAAGGAAAGTGGAAAGAAATATTAACGGTTGTTTGAGCCCCATTTTTCTCAAAAAATGTATTTTAAAATAGTGTTATGATGGAAAATGTGTTGTTAAAAAATAAGGAAAAATTTTGGATTTACGTGTAACATTATTTTATTGAAAAATGTGTGATTGGAATGATGTCAAATTACTGTTGAAAAATTTATTTTGATGAAAAATGGGGCTCAAACAAGACTAAGGAAAATCTGTAATTATAAATGTATAATAATATTTTGTAATTGAAGTAGAATAAGGTTACTTTCCAATTAGGGCGGGATTTTCTTTTTGAGTGGACTTTTACACACATCTGTGCTACTCATAGTCTCCTT